GGGGGGGGGGCGCCGCCATCACCTCCGTGGCCTCCAGCCCCGGGGCGGGGGGGCTCCTGGCAGACGGGTGGAGAGGCAGAGAGAGGATTCTGGAGAAAGGAAACACGTTCTTTAGAGATGTGAGCAGGGGGAAGCCCCAAGTAGCCATGGCGTCGGTCATCGTTCGTCCTGTGGCGTTTAATAAGTCGGAGGGCAGAGCGAGCCCTGCTGTCCATAAGGAGGCCCCCACTGGGCGGCTGTTCCCAGCCAGCCAGGAGGGGGACTGTCCCAGATATGGGGAGGGTGTGAGAGAGCCTGGGGCTGGCAGGGTCATTCAGCCCACCTCCAGTCTGGACGGAGTGTGTGTCAGGTACAACCACCCCTCCCTGCACGCCCCCCCGGGCCCCTGGGGGGGCGGCGGCCCCCCCGGCCCTGGGGGGGCAGCGGCCCCCCGGGCCCTGTGGGGGGCAGCGGCCCCCTCCTGGTCCCACCAGCCGATGAACCGCAGAGAAAGCCCCTGCTGTCATCAGGACACCCGGCTCAGGACCAGCTCCCCGCCAGCAGGGGGGGCCTCAGGGATGGTGTGCTCAGCCACTCAGGACCCGAGCGGGAGAAGGACCCCCCCCGGGGCTTTGAGGTCCAGGCCGGCCCCCCGGGCCTGTCCTTTCCCTCAGCGGGCTCAGCAGGGTCAGCCTTCCCCGGTCTGCCCCCCACCCCTGCCCCCAGCTGCACCCCCGGCTCCCGGCAGCCTCCCCCCCCCTCCTTCATCCACCTGAAAAAGCACAAAGCTGCTCTGGCCGCAGCTCAGTCCAGAGGCAGCCTCTATCCTGCCCCCGCCGCCATGGCAACCGGGAACTCCTCCCAAGGTCCGGACTCTGCGGATAAGACTCTGAACCACAGCTTAACCCCCCCGCCCTGCTCTGGCCCGCTCTCCTCCTCCGACAGCCCTGCTGGGGGGGGCCCAGCACCGGGCAAATCCAGCCCCCTGCCCAATGGCCAGCCCTGTGGGCCGGCCCCGGCCAGCTGCGGGCAGCCCAGCAACTACCACAAGCTGAAGAAGGCCTGGCTGACCCGCCACTCGGAGGAGGACAGGAACACGGCCGCCACCAAGAGCCCCGGCGCCGGCGGGCGGCCGGACAAGCTGCTGCTGTCCAGCAGCTGCAGCGCCGCCGCCATGTCGGACATGATCAAGCCCTGCACCGTCAACCTGAGCGCCTCCACCTCCGCCGAGGTGGAGCTGAGCAGAGACAGCCTCAGCAGGGGTGAGAGGGAGCGGCAGGCCGAGCAGAAGGCGGCAGAGGCAGAGGAGAGGAAGCCCGCCCCTCTATCCCGGAGGGGCAACAAACGCTGCTACGACTCTGGCTCAGAGAGTGGGGGGGGGGAGTCGGACGCCAGCGAGAGCAAGATGGAGGGTCGAGCCAAACGCCAGCCCAAACCAACCTACAAGAAGAAGCAGAACGACATGGCCAAGAAGAGAGGAGACACGGACAGAGAGGAGGAGGATGTGAAGCCCAACGGCATCTTCAGATCTGCGCGTGAGAAGACTAAACTCAAACTTTCTAGCAGTAGTAAGTGTAGCAGCTGATCTCCACTCATGTTGCATGCTATTCCCATCCCAATACAGCCACTGTCAACAATCTGACCGTCATTACCTGTTTTAAAGATAAATCCTTAGGCAGAACATTGACTGATTTATCAGTATTACACCTCTGGTGAACTGATTTGAGGCTCAGATGAGCACTAAAACAAATGGCTGTTCTGATCCTTGTGCCGTGTGCCTCAATGTTCTTGGGGAAAAGGCATGAAATGCTCCATCCTGAGTGAATCTTCACCATGGTGTGAACAAGTCTGTTTGAGTTCTGAAATGTTTGTGCTGGGTCTTTGAAGCCCCTTTAAACTTGCTTCTGTTTAAATGTTGTGTCTTAGTCGGGTAGTTTCTGTTACAGGAACAGGTTTGTCAGTGGTGTCCGATGCCTTTCTCTGGTCTGTGAAGCATGTCTGTATTGATTGAAGTGGGCTGAGCTGAGCTAACGTCTGAATGCAGATGGGATTCCTCGCTCCGTGCTGAAGGACTGGAGGAAGGTGAAGAAGCTGAAGCAGACGGGGGAGTCCTTCCTTCAGGATGACTCCTGCTCAGAAATTGGACCCAACCTGCAGAAGTGTCGGGAGTGCCGAGTAATTCGCAGCAAAAAGGGGGAGGAGCCAGCCCATTCCCCCGTCTTCTGCCGTTTCTACTATTTCAGGAGGTAAACCCCCCCCCCCCCCCCAACTCCCCTTCTCCTCCCAGATACGCTTCTGTCACGGTTCAGTGGACAGCACAGGGGTTATTGTCACAGAGCTGGGCCAGTCCTCAGGCATCAGGGCTCCTGGATGATAATTTTGAAGCTTCATGGCCTCATCAGAGAGCCGCTCGCCGCGTATTACTCAGAGTGGCCTCGGTCTATGGGAATACATCCATGTTTCCAGGAGAACTCCTGGTTTTGTCTGTTAAAAGCTTTATTTTCTGGAGTCGTCGGTTCTTCCTCCGTCTCTTCTTTGAGCCATTTTGCCTTCGAAAAGAAACTTTCCAAAGACGTCTGTTTTCTACTCATTTTTCTAACTTGTGGGTTAAATTTTGGGTGCTCAAGTGACCGAAATGTAACCGAGAGAATCCGGTCATTTTTCAAAATAAAATATTTTACAAAATAAAATATTATTCAGACTCTGAGAATAAATACAATGGAACAATCCATTATTACTTGGGGCCCAGGGCCAGCTGATCCACGGCCCGGTACCGGTCCACAGGCCGGGGGTTGGGGACCACTGATGTAAGGTAATCATAGCTAATGTGAGATCATTTTGCACCCGATACAACACTAGTGATGAAGTCTTGTGCTCAGCAGTTGCATCCAGAGCTTTACTGTTCATCATAGCTTCCTATTATCATTATTATGTGAATGAAATCGGCTTGCAAAACTGATATCTCTAAGGTTCTAGGTGGTTCTGTGTCAGGCTGAAGAAGACAAAGAATACTTGGTGCTCCTAAATGTCCATTATGACCGTGTACAGCAGGTATGATCGGCCTGCTCCTTCATTTGTTCTGTCTTCTTGTTTTCTGCATCCAGGCTTTCCTTCAGTAAAAATGGGGCCATTCGGATGGATGGGTTCTCCTCTCCAGACCAGTTTGATGATGAAGCCTTAGCCCTGTGGGCTCCTGGAGCCATAGAGGAAAACCAGCTGGACCAGGGCACAGCCAAGTACATCCTCAGTTTCATCGGGGATAAGTTCTGCCAGATGGTTCTGACTGAAAGCACGGCAGCCAGCTGGATTAAGAAGGATGGTAAGTTGCCTTTAAGGTGATTAACTTTGCCTCAGTTTGTCTGTAAATGTAATTTGTGTGTTTTCTCTATTTCAGCCAAGCTGGCTTGGAAGAGGGCCGTCAGAGGAGTGAGGGAGATGTGTGACGCCTGCGAGGCCACTCTCTTCAACATCCACTGGGTCTGTCAGAAATGTGGCTTTGTGGTCTGCCTGGACTGCTACAAGGCCAAAGAGAGAAGGAGCTCCAAGGGTCAGTGTTAAATGGAATATCAGAGGTCTGTTTCACAGCAGAGTAGGAAACAGAGCAGGTCTATTCATGTGATTATTGTTTCTTAACTGACGGCTCCAGGTAATATAAGTAGATCTAGATACGCCCATAAATGTTTTTTCTAGGAAGAGCATGCGTGGCCTTCCTCTGCCGTACAGAAACGGAGCCCATTCGGCTCTTGATCAGCCAGATGTGGACGTGTGGTGCTGTGCTTTCACCTGTAACTTCATAAAATAACACAAGAGAATATTTCACCTCTCCGGTTCGTCTGCTGAGTTCGGATTCTGCTTTTTCCACAATACGGAAACCAGAATGTTTCGAGTTCATTGATATTTTTAACAGTCCCAAAAGGCAAAGTAATGCAGCATAGATAACTGTTGTAGATGGCCTAGTGTTAGAATAAAATCAGCTAATGGGGGATGAAGATGTGTTTGACATGTGGCATTGCTAGGAGATGATTTGTTGTAACTTGGCTGTTTCTGACCTCCAAAATGCAGGGATTCCACTGTTTTTAATCTAGAGGTGTATCACTGTTCTTGTGGAAATCAAAACTGGAGTAATTCATTTGTGCTGAAACTTTAGGATCCATCCTCCTCACAGTATTTACTGAATGTGACTCTTTTCTGTTTGATCAGATAAGGAACTCTATGGATGGCTGAAGTGTGTTAAAGGCCAACCTCATGACCATAAACATCTAATGCCTACGCAGATCATCCCTGGCACAGGTACAGTACCTCTGTGGGCTTCAGCTCCACACAGACAGCCATCCGTTAGCTGAGAACACCGTTTTATGGTGGTACTCACTCATGTCGCCATCTAAGCTCCAGAGGCTGTTGTCCTAACTGTGGTAACGGTTTTGTTCTGGTACTTTTGATATTTCAGTGCTGACAGAGCTGGTGGCGTCCATGCACTCGCTGAGGAACAAGTACAGCATCACCTCTCACTGTCCCTGCACCAACAAACAGAGTGTCCTCAGCAAGCTCCCAGCTGCCAACGGAGTCTCACAGGTACTGCAGGGGGCTCCACATCCCCCAAACTCCCAGGTTCTGCATGCCAGAGCTGGGGATTAGTTTAAGGCTTGAGCCTGAAAAGGCTCTCAGACAGGCCCCCAAGTGGGATGATTCCTTTATTTTGTGTGCAATTAATTTTATTTATTTAAATCAGCAGATAGTGCACATATACAGTATCAGTTGAGCAGAATAGTTAATGCTTAAACAAAGTGAATCATTTGTAGTATTGGTATTGGTAAAATTGGAGCGAAGCATCCAGAAGGTGGAGACAGTACAGTACATGGATTCCAGTTGTGTTCAATAAGTCTCCAGGGACTTGGGGAAACGCTCCCCATTTCTTTTCTTGCTTGCAAATCTGTAGTTCTGAACAGTGAAGTGTGGTGGCCTTGTACTAGATTGGAGATTGCTTGATATGCTGGTGTGATAATAGAATATTATTCATAAATTAATCTCAGTATTACCACAAATATTGTGAAGCTAGAAAATGCATTTCAATAAGACTGTATGGAACTCTAAAAACTGTTTAACTCGATCACTGTCTTCAGTCATTTTCATTTCTTTTTCCTTTCTGACTTTGAGTTGACTGTAAACTTTGTCTCTGTCTGCTAGGTTCTGCAGAACGTTCTGAATCACAGCAACAAGCTGTCTCTGGTGAAAGCTGAGCCAGGCTCCAAGCAGAGCTCTGAGCACGGAGGAGCTAAAGCAGAAACTAACGGGGGCGGTGCGGGGGGCAGTCCAGGTGGAGAGGCACTGAGCGCCCCCGTCACCCCCCCAGAGTCCCAGTCACCGCTCCACTTTCTAGCTGACCTAGCAGAGCAGAAATCTAGAGAAGAAAAGAAAGGTGAGAGAGCAGAAACCAACAAAGGTTGGACCTCACATGTACACAGGCTTCTCCAGACAGTCTGGAGCTGCTGGATGAGCTGTGTTTCTGCTTCATCTTTTAAAAACAGAAAACAAGGAGTCGGTGCTCCTGGGTAAATTTCTGAAAGATGACAAGGACGGTGTGAGCCTGGAGGTCCTCCAGCAGTGTAAGACGGCCTCGGTGGTGGCCAACAGCACGGAGCAGGGCTCCACTCTCAGGGACCTGCTCACCACCACCGCCGGCAAACTCAAGCTGGGCTCCACTGATGCAGGGATCGCGTTTGCACCCGTGTTCTCCACTTCCTCACAGGTGAGTGGAATGACTTGTTTTGCAGACATTTTTCTGCAGCTGCTGGACGCGTTGCAGCCACATGTTTAAGGCTTCTCAGAGAGAAGTCTGGCTGTGTTCACGTGTCCTGAAACCTCTTATTTTTTCCATAGAGCGGTAAGGGTGGCCAGAACATGCCCAATATCCTAGATGACATCATTGCCTCTGTGGTGGAGAACAAAATCCCTGCCAGCCGGCAAAATATCTCCTCCAAGCTGTCAGTCAAGCAGGAGCATGTGACCCCAGGCATCAACAACAGTGCCCCCCCAGCTGTTGGAGAGGACATCAAACCAGAGAGGAAGAAGCCAGTGGCTGTGAACGCGGGGCTGACAGAAGAGTCCTCCAGCCAGTACCCCCACATCCCCCACTGCTGGCTCAACAACCGGCAGCTGCTGTGGCTCAAAGACCACCGCAACCAGAACAACTGGAAGCTGTTCAGGGAGTGCTGGAAACACGGACAGGTACGCAGCCGGCCCGGCAGGGCACGCCGACAGCTCAGGGGGAGCTGCAGAGCTAAACACTGGCTTTTGTGTGTGTGTGTGTGTGTGTGTGTGTGTGTGCGCAGCCGGTTCTAGTGTCGGGGATCCATAAACGCCTGAATGCCTGTTTGTGGAAGGCTGACTCCTTCAACCAGGAGTTTGCAGACCATCAGGGAGACCTACTCAACTGTAAAGACCAGGTGGTGTCCAACTCTGGGATCAAGGAGTTCTGGGACGGATTTGAGGACATCACCAGTAAGTCCAGCTTCCCTCGGCCTCACTGCTGAGGCTCAGCAGGGTAATGCCACCAGCACACTCAGGACATCTGTCATTTGTCCTCAGAGCGGCCCAGGTCCAAAGATGGAGAGCCCATGGTCTACAGATTAAAGGACTGGCCTTCTGGAGAGGAGTTCATGGCCCTCATGCCGTCGAGGTACAAACACTCTTCACTGCTTAAGCTGCTACATCTGTGTAGCAGCTTAAGCAGTAAAATCACAACCAGAGTAGTCCTTCAGAAGCCTTTCTCCTGGAGCACGAGCCCCTATAAAACAAGTGATTTCTTTCAGATATGACGACTTGATGAAGAACCTTCCCCTGCCTGAGTATTCGGACCCAGAGGGGAACCTTAACCTCGCCTCCCATCTGCCATCTTTTTTTGTCCGTCCAGATCTGGGACCAAGGCTCTGCTGTGCTTACGGTGAGCTGAGAACAGCAGCACAAGCTCTGCTGTCTCCTGTCTACCTGTTCTGTCTGATGCTCTGAACGTAGTGCCCTGCTCATCACACTGCAACCCAAGCAGCTGGATTTATTTTAAGCACATTAGAAAGGGTTTCCATACGACCCTCTGTCTTTGTCACAAACACAGTGAAATGTAAGTTTCCAAGAAAAAGCCCAGCTGTGTAATACTGAGCCTCCACCTCAGAGTGGATGGAAGACTCTGCTTTTCCCTGCTGAAATCCACAATGGGCTCCTTAGTTTTGCTGACATTCAGGTTGCCAGGTTCCAGGGGGTTGTTCTCCTGGCACCTGTTCTCCAGGTGGGCTGGGCTCACCGCCCTGAGGTGATCCTGTGTTCAGGGGGTGTAATCCACCAGTTAGGGAGGATGAGGAGGAGGAGGAGGGGATCACATGGCTGAGAGCAGTCTGGAGGTCCACAAACAGCCCTTTGACAGGCTCCCTGTAGTGGAGCACGAGGCTATGACACCATCCGCTGAGCTGTGGGGGGTGCAGGGGGCAGGTAGGGGAGAGCTGATGAAGGTTTTCATGAAACGTTTCCTCACCATGGATCACCTTTGCTGTGGCTCCGGTTTGTTGCCCCGGCGTTGGTTGGCTCCGTACTGCTCTGTGAAAGAGGCAGGAATGCCCTCCACCAGGCCAATAAATCCCACTGTGGCGATACACACATGTACAGTTTGACCTGTCTTCCATTAGATGGCACTAGTAATAGTAATCTGGATATATATTCCTAGTACATATTCACCTGTGAACTCTGTTATAGGAACAGCCATCTGTGTATTATGTTATGGTCCATATCTGTAATTACTCTATCTATAGTAATATCCAGCTGTACATTATATTCAGTACATATCCAGCTGTACATTTAGTTCACAATACTACTTATCCATATATTATATTCATAGGACAAATCTATCTGTAAAATTCTGCTTATAATAGTATTTATCTCTATATTTATTCATTACATATCAATGTGTATCTTATACCTGAACCTGTGTAATGACAATAAAGTTGAATCTTATCTAATCTAAACTAATTCAAATAGTATCTACTGGAACTGAAATTTTTTTTAAAAAAAGGAAACATTTATTTCCCTTTTGGCTAAATAACTTTTATTTTATTATTATTATTTTATTATTAATATTTATTACTATTTTTATTATTATATTTGACATTATTAGACAGTAATTAAAACGGTTTCCTGGTAGTAATTAAAACAGTTTCCCTGTTTCCTGACAGTAATTAAACAGATGCCTGGCTAACCTTGCTTAAGAGGCTGTGAGCATGTTGTGGTCAGATCAACAGGTTGCTACACCAACATGCCGGGCAGTTTTCTGTTGTTCAAATCAAGATATTAATCAGACAAAATGTGGACAGGTTGGCTGGTGCTGGGTTAATTAAAAAAACAGTAAAGACAGTGTCAGAGGATCCCCTAATTAGTATTAGTAATATGATCTGATATCTGTTCTGTAGTCTCAGATTCATTTGATCATCATAACAAACTCATGCACCATGCAGTATTTCATTATTTTGTTTATCACAAAACTTCCTTTTGGTGTTTAACAGAGTGCTTTTTGTTGCTACCTCTGGCTGCAGATAACCAGCAGGTAAGCTCTGAATGCAGGATTGATCCATGGATTACACATTCAGAGGCACATCTTTATGTATCTGTGCTCACTGGCCTTTAACACGAGCTCACAACACTGTGAGCAATCCAGCTGGACAAGGCTTGATCCTGGAAATGTGTAGATGACCGCAGGCTGCTTTAATGAGCTCAGTGTCCGTCCACTGGTGTGACCCTAATGATTCTCACCTTTAAACTCAAATGACCTGTTTTTCTTCAGGAGGAACGTTTAGCTCCGTCTGTCCCGTGATGAAAGACACACGGAGCTCACTTCAGTGGTTTCCTGTGGCCAAAACACAGACACTGCAGCTCTAGAGAAAGAGGAGAATCATGATGGGTCACTCTGAGTTTAGAAGGTCAAACTGGGGTTGTTTGGTGGCCTGCAGCCCTGTTGGTGCTGACTCAGGGATGTTCAATTCAATTCAATTCAATTTTATTTATATAGCGCCACATCACAACAACAGTTGTCTCACAGCGCTTTCCAAACAGAGCAGGTCAGACCCTACTCTGAAGTTAACTACAGAAACCCAACAATTCCCACCATGAGCAAGCACTAGGCGACACAGGCAAGGAAAAACTTCCTTTTAACAGGCAGAAACCTTGAGCAGAACCATGGCTCAGGGTGGGCGGCCATCTGCCTCGGCCGGTTGGGGGTGAGGGGAAAGAGAGAGCAAGAGAGAGAGAGAGGGCGAGAGAAGGACAGAAGGAGCAGAGAGGGGCAGCCAACACAGCAACACGTAGAATAGATTAAAAATGGCAATGATATTAATGCTAATGATGAGCAGGAACATGGGGGCAGCAGGAAACTCCCAACCACAGATCCAGACTCCACAGCTCTAGGAACACCTGCAGGAAGTGATAGGAGGAGACTCCCAACCACAGATCCAGACCCCACAGCTCCAGAGCCAGGAATATCTGCAGAAAGTGTTAGGAAGAGAGAGAAGAGAGAAGGGGGACGAGAAAGCACACGACTACGGGGAAGGGAGAGAGTCCAGTTAGTAACATTGTTAATGGAATGAGGTTGCACCGGGAGGGAGAGAGAGAAAGGAGAGGGGAGCTCGGTGCATCATGATGCCTCCCCCGGCAGTCTAGGCCTATAGCAGCACAACCAGGGGTGGACTTACTCTAACTATAGGCTCTATCATAAAGGAAAGTCTTAAGCCTGTTGCAGACTTTATTTTGATTGCTGTTGGCCCACATGAGTGACCTGCTTTGTGTTTACATATGTGTTCTGTTTTTCTTAATTTGCTGAAGAAACTCTCAGTGGATGTTGTTTTATTTACATTTAATCTGAACATGAAATCAGAAAACCCCAAAAGGTTCTTTTATATTGGTTTAAGCGATGAGGACAGGTTTTTCTCTTAACTAAGGAGGCAGTAATATAAAATGAATACCATGCTAGCTCATTTTTAAAATTCCATCCATCCATTCAGCCAGTTTCTACACCCTCACCCACTTATCCCAGTTCAGCTCACTCTCATGAAGTAGATGGATTCAACATGTGATTCAAACTTCCAGATAATTACTTACTTTGGGTGTTTTTAAACATGCAAAGAGTCTACATTTCTTGTCTCTAAAGATTCCAGCTGACACCAATAAAGTCACTGCATCTTTAAACGGTGATTATGTGATTTCATGTAATTCATAATTATGCACATTTTCATTTACGATAAATTATAATAATGTAATTTGGATGCCGTCAGTGAGATTCTACAATCTAAATAGTTATGAAAAGAAAGAAAGAAACAAGGCGTTTCCAAACTTTTTGACCGTTGGTATGAACACCATAAAATAAAGGAAAATTCCATAATAGAAAGTTAGATGTATACCATTTAACAATTTACAATACAGAGACTTTGAACAGTAATTCCTGATGTCATTAGGGACTGCTGTATTAGATAGATAGATAGATAGATAGATAGATAGATAGATAGATAGATAG